CAATATAGTCAGCAGTAATGATCCTGTTGGCATAGCGATGACTACACACAACTACAGATGGCACGACGCCAGAGACGTGGACTGTATTAAGCCGCACATGCGTACGTAAATCCTGCACTTCATCCACGATATTACTGACACTGACGAACATGCGTTAAGAAAACCCGCCACTTGCGGTGAAAAAGAAAGCCGCGTCTCGATAACGTCTACGAAACTCTTCAAAACGTTTCGATTCTGGATAATCGATTCGCTCTAGTTTTTATCCAATCGATTTCGGCTTTATACCAACGCATTAGTCTTTACTTCACCGATGAAGTTCGTGAGATCGGAGGAAAGGCATGTGCAAACGATCGAACAGCAGTTGACACTGCTTATAACCCTAGTTCGATACGGCTGTTAGAATTTCTACTAAGCATTGCGTACAACGCGCAGTTTCTTCAGTCACACTCCAGCGCCAACTCCACTACTGCATCTTCAATCCGCCCCACGCGCATGTTATTTCTTTGATCAGCTCTGTCAAAGTCTGCCGTGATCAATAATTTCAACGGGTCCTGTACGCTTTGATAGACCACCGGAACCGAACATTGTTTCCCGTTGTCGGGATTATCATTGTCTACGTCTTGGGATTGCTGAGAAAGAACCTGACTAACGATTTCCGTGAGTGGTTTTTGATATTCCGATGTTTTGGTTACCGGGAGATGTGCCACTCGTTGTTCGACTGTCATCGGACTGCTTACATAGCCTAAGCTATTTCGTCTGTATTTACCTGCGGGGCACATACCGCCTTCGCTCGACACACAATCGTCTAGCTGCGTGTCTATCCAAATCGGCATTGCGTCATCATAGATATTATGAACGGTAAACGTCAGAGGCCCATCGTCAGTAGAAGTATTATGGTGATGGAATCCCTCAGCGTTTTCCTGCGTTTCCGCATTATGACGCTGGCCCGTGACAGTAGCTGCCGTGCCTGGTGTCGTAGCTCCATTCTTGCCATTCATCCCAGTGTTTCCGATAGATTGGCTACCGTCGTTATTAGACCAGTCAACGCAATCTTCCATGTAGCGTTCGCGATCTCCCCACAGCTGAGCCTCTAACGTTGCCGGTGAGCCAGCCTCCTCGTTGGGAACGGTCAGTGTGAGAAAGTGCTCCTCGCTTCGCCCGGCTTCGCTCTGAGGCTGCCCTACCGATTTCATCCGTGAAGTCATCTTTGTATCGACTCCGACGATAGAGACACGTTGGTTTAGTTGATCATCACGTTGATTTCCTGTAGCTGTCGTCGACGGCGCGACTGCTCGCCTTGGCTCGGTAAGCGGTCGGAATAGAAGGCCGCAGACGATCACGTTAAGTACGGCGGCACCGGTTACGAGGAAAGCTCCCTGGTACGTGTACGCCTCCACAAGAATGTTGGTGAGCGTTGGCCATGTCAGGCTGCCCACGCCTGCACCGGTTACGCAGATGGCCGTAGCCATGGCGCCACGCTTGTCAAAATATTCGTTGACTATCGAAAATGAAGCGATGACAATGATGGCAATACCGACGCCTGTAAGGAGAAGATAACAATGCAACAATAAAACAATACAATAATACAACAATACAACAATAAAACATAACAAACATGCAAAAATAATAAAAAAATAGAATAAAACAACAATACAACAATGACAAAACACAACAACAATACAACAACACAACAATACAACAATACGAAAATACGAAAATACTAAAATACAACAGTACAAAAATACAGCAAAACAACAATGCAACGGTACAACAATACAGCGATACAACAATACAGTGATACAACAACACAGCGTAGAGCATACAATACGATGCACTCTACGATACAACAATACAAAGAAATACAATTTCTCTACGATGGTAGAACGCGGAAGTGATAGAAGAACGTAATACTTAGTGAATGGGTTTTATTTAGTTAATGCTTTCCAAAAGAAGCCAAATATCAATTTCTCCATATTACGTCAGTCGGACTTTGCGAGTACAAAATCGAACGTATGATGACTAAGAGTAATTTTATTTTACGATAATTTCAAGCTATGTATCAGCAGCAGTCCCGACAACCGATCTAACCGATTTCCGAATCGCAATAAAGTTGCTGAGCTTGCCACCAGATGGCAGTAGCGTTCAGGCGGCTAGACCCGTTATCGAAAACTGATACCAACGCGTTATGCTTATATTTATCAACACAATTAATTTACTCAACACTGGTACTTTTACTTGAGTAAAATTACTCACGTGTGCGCCGGGCTTAAAATTATATTAATCGTTTTGCAAAAGATAGCTGATGGCGTTTACCGTTTATGACGCCGATAACGATGCAGAGGATGATTAGGCTGTCTGTGAGGAAACCAAGGATCAGTCCTGATCCAGCGAGCAAACCTCCAACTATGCACGTGCGCCGGGCACCGTACTTCTTATCCATGACACTCGCCAGAGGCGCTGCAAAATGTTAATGTGTAACATTTTCAGACCTCAGTGTGTATATTATATATATATATATAATATTTATATATGCACAAGGGAAGATTAAGAGGGACGAGTCTAGTTTGCTTAAATTTGCATGATCATCGAACGCGACAAAATCTTGTATTTCTCACCGGATATTGCCAGCGGTACAGCTTGTTAATCATGGCAAGTTAACAGTTCAATTCATTTACGTTTGCTGGTTACAGCTTCGGCAGCAACTCGCTGTCAGAAACATTGTAAAGTTACGACTATGGATAATATATATTAACACGAGAACGATCTGATAAGCCGCCCTGCTCGCCTAGTTGGCTTCTTGTATGCGTTGCTGTATGTTACTTACCGAAAAGATATGATAAAGCAGTGTTCAGGCCTCCAATCGTAGACGTATGCATGACATTACTGCCTAGCATATCCATGATATCTATCATGTAAATTCCGAAAGCTTTCTGTTGACCCCAAGTGAAGGCCAAGCATATCGTAGCAGCTGCGAGAACGACCCACCCCCAGCCGCCGTCGGGGGCTGCGCGTCTCTCCGTCGGTTCGACGCTACGCTCCGTGTATTCGTGTCTGTGCGCGGGGACATTGTCTGTCTTTGTGTGACGGGCTGTAACGATGACCTGCTGTGTCACGTTCGGTGACATCGGAATCGCGTGGAATATCTGACCAGGCGGTGTTGAGTGAACTTAACTAGGCCAAGTAATTCTATACTATCGTCTATATTCTGTACTGCCCTCGCGGAAGCCCTGTTACAGCTACTCTACAGAGACACTAGAGAAATGTGATCTTGGCCCATTAACTCGCTTGCGGTGACTGACACGCAGCCAGCTACGCGGCTGCACTTTACTCGGCGCTCGTAAAATTTCGCAACGTACTCGCGTTCGTATTGGCTGCGCTCCGTAAATATCAACCTTTCAAGCAAACAAATTGTACTCGCGATTACCATCCGAGGTAGAAGCCGAAACCAGAATAATCTAGTTTGAAATTTTTATGGATGCACGTTTCAATCGATAACAGACGAACTCGGGGTATACGTTCTTGTTGATATTGTCTATGAACTATTTCCATTTAAAAGGGTTCGTTAGCGCAATGCCTAGTTTATGACAAAATAATACAGAGAAATAAGAATAAAAATACACAGCATGCCTGCTCCACATGGGCACCACATGACTAAATAACCCTCCATGTTTATGATACTGCGATGAAATAAACAAACAACCAACCAATGCTTCACCTGTCGAAACCCTGAAATTGCACGAAGAACGTACTGGCAGCCAAACACGATAAATAATTGTGTAAATTGAATTTGGTAATATAGAAGAAGAAGATTTCGCGTCAAAATGAGTGTTATCCGCTCAGAACAGTTATAGGAGGGATATAGCCTTGACAAATATATTTACGCGAAGTTATTCACATTGATAATAAATATTGCCCTGGTATACAGGGGCAGGCATTGCTGGTCTGTGTGGCGCAATAATCTATGCACATCGTTATATTGCTGACGATGCATATTCCATAACGAGCCTGACAACGCATGTATCTAAGTAACCGTCTGTAACTATGTGTACGTCAACACCTGTTACTCGGCGCAGGTTGTTAGTTTACGAGATGACAAATAGCGAATGCGAATTATTTGTTTCCCGTGCGATGCTACGCCTGCCCCCATAAAGAGAAGATTATGCCAAGAGCGCGCGCGCTCTCTCACTCTTTCTCTCTCTCTCTCTCTCTCTCTCTCTCTCTCTTCGATCGCGCGGGCATCTCTAATCTTATCTATCTAATCTATCTATCTAATTACTATTATGCTTCTCTCTATCTCTCCCTCTCTCTTCTCTTTCTCTCATCTCGTTACGCGTGCGCTCTCTATCTATTATCTATCTAACTTACTATTGTATCTATATATTGTATGTCTCGTCGCTCTCATCTCTCTCTACTCTCTCTCGGCTTTCTCTCTCGTCTCGTTCTCTCTCTCGTCATCATCTCTCTACTCTCTGATTTTTCATCTTTCGCAGCGACGAGCGGTTATTTCCCGGATGTGGTGTGAGTGGTGGTGGCTGGTGGTGGTGGTGGTGGTGGTGGTGTGGTTGTGGTGGTGGTGGTGGTGGTGTGGTTTCCTCGTGCGATAGCTACGCCTGCCCCATAAAAGAGACGATTGTGTCAAAGAGCGGCCGCTCCGTCTCTTCTCTCTCTCGTCTCTTCTCTCTCTCTCTCTCTCATCCATCTCATCTCTCTCTGCCTTTCTGCTCTCTCTCTGCCTCTCGCATCATCTCTCCTCTCTCTCTCCTCTCTCATCTCTCTTCACCCTCCTCCTCTCTGCTCTATTTTTCGCTCTCTCGCGCGCAAGCGTTATTTCCGCTCTCTGCCCCTCCTCTCCTTCTACTCCCACCGCCCCCCCTGTCTGTCTTCTCTCGCTCTCTCTCGCTCCTCCTCTCTCTCTCTATCTCTCAGTCTTCCCCGTCTTATCATCTCACTTCTCTTAAAGCGGAACAAATAATTTATGGGAATTTTAAATTCAATTTACGAAATTTGGTTTGAGTAAATCGTCGCCAATCCTTCGCCCATATATGCTGTTGTGATTACCCTACGCCTATGTGTTTGTACTCATAAGCAATCCTATAAGTAGTAGTAGTAATCAACATATATGTCCCAGTATTGGCGGCGGCGCTGGGTGTGGTGGTTGGTGGTTGGTGTGGTGGTGGTGGTGTGGTAGGTGGTGTTGGTGGTGGTGCGTGGTGGTGGTAGGTGGTGGTGGCAGCGGTGGTGGTGGTTTAGGTGGTGGTGGTGGGGTGGTGGTGATGAAGGTTGTGGTTGTGGTGGTGGTGGGTGTGGTGGTGGTGGTGGGTAGTGTGGTGGTGGTGATGATGGGTTTGTGGTGGGTGGTGGTGGTGGTGGTGGAGTGGTGGTAGTGGTGGATGGTGATAAGGTGGTGGTGGTGGTGGTGGTGGAGGTGGTGGTGTGGTGGTGGTGGTGGTGGTGGTGGTGGTGATGATGATGATGATGGGGTGGTGGTGGTGAATGTGATGGTGATGGTGGTGGTAGTGGTGGTTGATGGTTGGTAGTGGTGGTGATGGTAGATGATGGTGGTGGTGGTCGGTGAATGGTGGTGGTGGTGTGTAAGGTAGAGATAGTCGCCTGCATCACGATGGTTGTGGTTGCTGCGGGCTGGTCGGTGGGTGGATGGTGGTATGGTTGGGTGGTGGTGGTGGTGGTGTGGTGGTGGTGGTGGTAGTGTGATGGTGATAGTGGGGTGTGGTAGTGGTTGGTAGTGTGGTGGTCGATGATAATGGTGATGATGGTGGTGGTGAGTGGTGATGTGGTGGTGTGGTGGTGGGGTGATAGAGGTGTGTAATGGTTTCCCCCCGGCGATGCTACGCTGCCCCAATATCAGCGAAAGATTTTATTGCCAAGAGCGCGCGCTCTCTCCTCTCCCGCCTCTCTCCTCTCTCGCAGGCCCCGCGGGGTCTTGCGCTCTCCTCTCTCTCCTTCTTCTCCCCCTCTCTCTCTCTCTCTCTCTGCTTCTCATGCACGCTCTCTATTATCTATCTTCATATCTATCTATCTATTATCGTATCATATCTATCTATCTATCTAACTTACTAATTTATCTAATCTCTATGTCTCTCTCTCTCTCTCGCCCGGCCCGCCTGGCCGCCGCCTCTCTCTCTCTCTGCCCCTCATCTTCTTCTCTTTGCGTACTCTTTCTCTCTCGCGCGCGCTCTACTATCTATTATCTATCCTAGACATTCACTAAATTTATCTTATCTCATGTCTCATCGCTCTCAGTCTCTCTCTCTCATAGCATCCTCTCCTCTCTCTCTCTCTCTCGTCTCTCTCTCTCTTCGTCCTCTTTTTCTCTGCTCTATCTCTCGCCTTCCCGCCTCCTCTCTCACTCCCTTCGTCTCGCTCGCGAGTCTCTCCTCTCGCTCTTCTCTGCTCTCCTCTCCCATCCTCTCCTCTTTTCTCGTGCTCAGTCTCTGCTCTCTCTCTCTCTCTCTCTGTCTTTCCCTCTCTCTCCTCTTCTCCGCTGCACTCCTCCGCGGCGCTTGCGATATTTCTTCCTCTCCGTCTCGCGCGTTCTTGCGATATTTTTCTCCATCTCTATTTCTCCCGTTCTCGGCGCGCGAAGCGTTATTTCGCCGTGATCGATACTCCGCCCCCCCTCTCTCTCTCATCTCTATCTACTGCACTCTTCCGTCTATCCTCCACTCTGCCATCGTAAACGAACAATAATTTATGGGAATGTTTATTTATTTACGAGAATATTGTTGAGTATCGTCGCCAATCCTACCTTCGCCCATAATATGTTGTTGGTATACCCTGCGCCTAGTGTTGTACTCATAGCAATGCTATAGTGTAGTATACATTAATACTACAGATTCCCGCGTTGCCGGGAAATCAAGTGGCCGTTACCCGTATGTGACCGCTTGGGTTGAAAGAAATACCCAAAAAAATCTAACTATCTATCCTTCCATGCCAGTACCGTACATTGCATCCAGTCATCCAGCATTCCATGCCATCACATCCTCATCGCACGCATCCATCCATCCGGCAGTCGCATCCAGCCATCGCCATCGTACACGCATCCCATCCCATCGCATCCATGAATCCATGCATGCCATGCATGTCATCGCATCGCATCCCGTTCGACGGCATCATGGCATGGCATGCCATGCATCCATCCATCCGATCGCAGTCTCGCCTCCCATCCCATCCCATCCATCCATACCGCATCCCATGCCTATCCCAAAAGTAAAAAAATAAAAATAAATTAAAAAGTAAGAATTGTAAAAAAATAATAATTAAAAAAAGAAGAAAATAAATTCATAAGTTCATAAATTAAAAAGAGGTAGGTAAAGGGAAAAAGGGCGAAAATAGTTGCCAGCTGGATCGAACCAGTAATGCCGCGTGTGGTAGACAAATGTTTAGACATTACGGCCATTGCTCCAATTATGTTATACACAATGGATGACACAGATACGATGATGCAGGCGTGTAACGTACGGCATCTAATTGATTGAATAAAATGTCTTTAATGCACTTTTTAACTTTATTAACTTTTATTTTGATTTTTTTTTGTCTAGGAGACACTATCCCCGGGTATAAAGAGATCGGCCCTCGTGAAATTGCGATCCAGATCGTTGGACGGTTTGGCGCCTATTAGGGAGATACATACATAGATACAACGTGCAAATATAANGTAGTGGTGGTGGTGGTGATAATGGTGGTGATGGTGGTGGTGGTGGTGATAGTGGTGGTGGTGGTTGTGGTGGTGGTGATGGTTGTGGTGGTGGTTTCCCCGTGCGATGCTACGCCTGCCCCATAAAGAGACGATTATGCCAAGCGCGCGCTCTCTCTCTCTCTCTCCCTCTCTCTTTCTCTCTCTCTCGCGCGCGCTCTCTATCTATCTATCTATCTATCTAACTTACTATTTATCTATCTCTATGTCTCTCTCTCTCTCCCTTTCTCTCTCTCTTGCGTGCGCTCTCTATCTATCTATCTATCTAACTTACTATTTATCTATCTCTATGTCTCTCGCTCTCTCTCTCTCTCTCTCTCTCTCTCTCTCTCTCTCTCTCTCTCTCTCTCTATTTTTCCCTCTCTCGCGCGCGAGCGTTATTTCCCGGGAGAGATGCGAAACGATTGCGACGATACTCAACAATGATCTGCGTAAGTGAATAAACATTCCCAATGAAATTAATTGTTCCCGTTTTAGAGAGAGTGAGAGATAGAGGGAGAGAGTGAGAGATCCGAGAGAGAATGAGGAGTGAGAGAGAGAGAGAGAGAGAGGGGGGGGAGAAGGAGAGAGAGGGGG